AAAACCTTTCGAGCCTTAGAACAATCTGTTCTGTAAATGATTTCTCAAATCATTTAATCCTCTTTAAATCCTCAACACAGGATATCAAATCCAAAACTGCTTTGTACTGAAAGACCCGTTTTTGCAACAGTTGCATTCAAAGCATAGTTTCGGCTTTAATATTTTCCAAAACAGATTCAAACTTCAGAATCACAAAATATTTCCTCTAAAACTTAAACAGAATAGTTTTACCAAATTCCTTTAAACTTCAAACCATCAATACTCAACAGTTTCTAAAATCAATAGTCTATATAAACTCACGGTTTGTAAACAGATAGTAGTTCAAAAACTCACAAGTTGTATCAAAACAGTAGTTAAACTCACATGTTATATGAAAACAGTAGTTAAACTCATGGTTTGTAAACAGATAGCAGTTTAAAAACTCACAGCTTATATCAAACAGTAGTTAAACTCACCTTGTTATAACAGATTATGTAGTAAAAGATCACACAACAAATGCAGATTCTTTAAAACACCGGTTCTTTCTCAAGAACACCTTCACCGTCTTCAACTTTTCTTTCTAAGAAATATCTCTTCTTTCAAAACAAGGAATGATAAGATAAAATTATCTTGTCATATCTTTCTATTTATACTTCTTTCTAAGATATCAATACTTTACTTCATCACTAAGATACTATTACTTTACTTCATCACTAAGATACCATTATTTTACTTCATCACTAAGATACCATCTTACTTCATCACTGTAACAACCCCAAATCCATACATTGCATATAACACATATTTCATACATAGAATACATGTTTTCCCTACAAAGGTCCATAATACAAGAGTCTATAACGTGAAATACATAACTCAAAAATTCAAAAAGTACATGCTCTTGTATCCTAGCGTCTATGCTCCAAAAACATAGCTAATTAAGATCTTCACACAGCTAAGCACATAGGGAAGTAATTCACATAATGCTCTTTGCCTTATTATCATTACTTGCACACATATATTTGAAAACACAAAAATAAGGGTTAGACATGTATGTCTAGTGAGGTTCCCTTTTTATGCAATGCAGGGTGAAGATCATCAAAACATTAATTTCAGATGATTCATTCCATGTAGTAAAGGCTGAAAATCGTATTATGTTTCAAAACACTTTTAATCAAAATCAATGACCATAGGCCATATTTTCCCGTAACCATAACATTAATACTATTATTTCTAATAAGAACAACATCTCT